GAGAGCTGCCTTTTCAAACTGAAGAAGGTTTTTATTGGGAAGAGCAACTCTGAGAAGTTACTGCAGGGGCCTATGATGAACGTCACCTACTGGAATCTGTACCAAATTGGTCCGTTAACTCTATTAAAAGCTGAATTACTTTATAAGTGACTTTGTAATTCTGCTTCTGAGGTTTAATGCGACCAGACGCCCGCTTCTGGGTCCCGGCCCCCCTGGGTGGAACGGACGGGACGTCCTTGCTGTTAGGGAGTGTGTTCGTTTCTGGGTTGGTCGTTGCTTCGGCAGGAGGGTTGGACTAGATGACCCACAGAGGTCCCTTCCAACCCCTACCATTCTGTGATTCTGTGATTCTGTTGCAGGAGAACCCAGGAACAGCCGTGTGCCGAGTGTGGGACCGCGCCAGGCACAGCCCTGGGGAGCGGGGCGGGAGCCGGAGCTGACCCCACTCTCGGGGAGTGCTGCTGAAGGCCCAGGAAGCGAGAGAGACTTCAACATGTTCCCAAAATGCACGCTGTCTGCTTCAGTTAACGAAAGATTTTACGAACAAGCTTAAAACCTTTTCATTTCAGTGGGACTCAAGCCCCCACATGAGCACTTTCCTGCACTGGGAAGAGGTAACGCGAAATTTCACTCTGAAATATCCTGGCTGTGAGGTGCGAAACTCTCGCTCTAAGGGCCGAGGGCGTGCGAAGGAACACGCGCAGTGCGTGGCGCGAAGGCAAAGCCTGCGTCCCCTCCACTCCTGCGCCAGGAGGACGGCTCAGGAGCAGAAGACAAGCTTGGCTTGAGCGAGGTTTCGTTTTTACAAAGTTCTGCCACCCGGAATCGTTTAATTACTGCAACTCCTGATGGCAAAAGGCTCGGAAAGGAGGGCAACAGCTCACCCAGCCCTAGAGGGTCTTTCTCCTCCCTCGTTTGCCTTCAGTCTTGGTCTTCCCATGTGCTCCTCAGACGCTTCCCACCAGCGCTGGGACAAGGCGCACCTCGTCCGGGCACAGCCTGGCAGACAGCCCCCAGCCAGCAGCCCCCGGCCCTTCAAACGGCCATGCCCCTGACCGAAATCGCAGCAGGATTACCGTCATCTTCCTCCAGCGCGTCCGGATGGGACACGAAGATCGGCTCCGATGGGTACGAATCCCCCCCCTGCCACACCCAGGTCTCCTTTGTTTTAACATTCAGCTTGCAAAGCTAAAGGTGGGAAAACAAACCCCAAAAACCCACATCTCAGAAATACTCTTTCTTGTCCTTGAATGGAAAGCTCGTGGAAAAGACGTTCCTCACCCGCTCGCTGATAGTTACCCTGTCTGGGACAAAGTGATTCAGCCCCAGCCCGTACGTATACGTGTACAGTTTCCCACCGTACTTCTTGTAATTGATCTGTGGAAATTCAAAGGCTGCGATAAAAAAAACAAACACATCTATGCGTGAGGATCAGCGGGACGTGGCGTGCAGGGGGTAATCGTGGTCGTCATCCTACCGTGCCGTGGCCCTGAGAAAATGACTTCTGGCTCCAGCCAGATG